AATTTAGAATTTTAGATGGTTAAATCAAATTTGTTCCGAATTCCCGATTAAAATGTTGATTTGTGGTTGGGTTGTGTGGGTTGTGAGCTTTTAAAATGAAAAATGAGTTTAATTTATGGGTTATCTAGTCAAAACTCATTAACTCAAGATGAGAAACTCAAAAGGAAATAAGCAAAAAGTCCAGCTGCCAAACAAAGGTAAAATCGAGATTTTACCTGATTTCACGGTAAAATCTAGATTTTACCGTGAAATTCTTAGATTTTATGAATTTCATATTTTAGTATAGATTTTACACGAAATATCTTATTGAAATCGTAAAATCGTAAGATTTTAAGATTTAAATCTAGATTTTGACAACAATGGATGGCATCGCACTTCAATTAAACATATATAAAATTCCTATGATGAGCACAATGAGTGTCAGGTTTCACTGTCATCAATATTCCACTAATTAATCTTTGACCTAATATGCTCTTCTTCTTGACACAACAGTAAGCTCTCGCTATCCTGTGCCCTACTCATGACAGAATACAACTGGTATGGATCTCTAGCCTTTTGGTACATGATTGACATATGCTCTGTCCAAAGATGCTTACCTATTTGATTCATATAAGTTCTTGAATTCAGCTGGTGTAGGTGGCATGCAATCTAACACACAGTCATGGTATTTTCCACGAGGATAGAAGCTAGTTCCCTTGATGACTGTTACCAAATTAATACCATCTTCGCCAAAACAACTATTTTATAACATCACATAACCTTATAATCTAAGATGACAACTAGAGTAAAAATTAGGACATAAAAGGGGAAAAGGTGAAACTTCAAATGCTCAAAAGAACACCTTCCTCCTCTCAAGACCTACTTTTTGAGAGAGACATTCCAGGAAGAGAAAATGGTGGCTTTCATCAAACTTAGACGAATCTCACAGTTTGGGAGTACATGGCGTAGTCTTTCACCTTCCTCTTCACTTGGAAACAATTGATCTCTTCCATTAGAAAACAAATGGTTAATTCGACCAAAGATGATTATGAGGATCATAAACTTCAAATTTGGACTGGTCAACTTTGTTGCAGTGCTGCCCTAAACAGATGGCATTATAAGTTACATTACATTCGTCTGAATGACAAGATGCTCTTCAACATTGTTTGTGACTGTGCACATATTTAGGACAGTGATAAAAAAACCGTAAGCAAACATCTTTTCTCTCATTGTAACAATAGAGAAGTAGGCATTATGCATTTAGGTTATGAAGAAATATTTTTCAATCTTTCTTCGTTTATAATCTTTGATTCAGCCATTTTCAGTTGACTGCTTCTTTCAATAATTTTGTTTTCCTAACTTCATTTTTCTGTTTGGTGCATTAGCTGCTAAAGAGGAGAACCACAAGTTTAGATAAAGCCAATTAATATTGATCAATAGCTCTTCAAAACTGCAAGCAAAATCATCAAGTTACCTGCAAAGTAATAGCACTTCAGCCTTTGTAGCGTGGAGACGTGAATTGGCATATGCAGAAGCAGATTTCAGTATTTGTAGCTTCCATTTGAGCAATTCTTTGAGTAAGATTTCAACCAGAACCTGTGACTTAAAATTATCATTTATCTTTCCACAATTTGTAGCATGTAAATGAAAATCAGAAATTCTTCTTAATATGAACCAAAGAAAGATGTATAAAGCACTCTAAAACACATCTTACAGAGAGGTAAGATGATGCAGCGAAAATATCCTGTGACAGCTTTCCAACGACAGATTGTCCCAGAGGAATGCCCTTCACTACATTATCCATCAGCATCCTCAAATGGTCACCTAAAGAAATGATTGACAACTATAAAAGTTAGAGACTGCAATTAAGATGACAATCAAGACAGCATAGCCGCCTACGTTTAAGACATATTTCTCTTAAGATGCAAATAACAGCCAAGAAAACGAAAGTTGAAGACCAAGGCAGCAAACCTGTGGTTCAGCTGAACATGGAATTTCTTGCCAAAAGAAAGAATTCATCAGGAATGCTTTGTAATAAATGTAGAAGGGGTTTCAATTGCGACTTGCCAAAAGAAGTAGCTGTGAATACAAATATTCAAGCCATGAATTACATATGAATATGATCAAAAGGACTAAAGACTAAAAGCAACCAACTGAATGTCATCTATAATGACAGCCATTTTTGGCTTGGTACGAAGGCAAGTAAAGCATCTTTGCAAAGAGGGATCTACATCTACTGAAGGGGGAGCAGTTTTGGTACACCAATTATGTGGCAACTGATTCCATTTAGCTTTTAGGAAGGAAATTATAATAGCCACTTGTGAATATTGCAAAAATATAATTACGACGTCAAGGAATGCTGCTTATAAAGAATTACAACAAATTTAGTCCTTACCTGGGTTAGACAAGATAAGTAGGAGATCAATATCAGGGTTACGGTTTGAAACAGCTTAGGCAAGGCATCCTCCAAGGGATTCCCCAACAAGATATATTGGTCTATTTGGTGACCTGGAGTATTCTGACCTAATTGTACTTTCAACAAGCTGCACAAGGCCTGAATCCCATAAGAAACACAAAAAATTAAAACCAAAATTTGTATTAACAAACATGTTAATGTACATGTACGCAGTCACAACTACTCATCATTGGATACCTGTAAAAGATGTCCTGTCCTTGACTGGAATATGCAAGCACCAAATGTCCAAGATCCTTCATTTCATTTAGGGAAAACATTAGCAAGCACAAAACTAGCTGATCAACAAGTGTGAAGTCCAAATTAAAACAAAAATCCTAATCCTAAATTAAAACTAATTTAAAAACAAATACAGCTACCACTAGATGAATTCATGAGCTAAAATTAGGCGAATCATGCAAAATACCCCTCAAACTTGATTATCAGTGGCAGATTAGCCCCTAAATCAAATTCAGAAGTATACCACCCCTTATACTCTTCAACAGTGGCAAATGAGCCCTTGTCTGAAGGTTGACGCATTGCCCCGTCAAAAAACTAACGGAGCCTTCATTTTGTGGGTTTTAGAGTTGGGCTCACAATTGCATCGCACGTGGGATCACTTCAAAATAAATTAAAAAAAGTAAAAGTATAATATACTTTCTAAATTAAATTACACATTATTCTAAATTAACAAAATGTAACACTTTAGTATTTATTTATTTTTATTAATTACTATTAGAATGTTCTTTGGCAGTTTCCACACACTTAAATACTAATCTTATTTCAAGTAATTTTAAATACCCTTAATTAGTTTGATATATTTAAAAAATTTAATTTTTTAAGTGTTGGTATTAAGACTTAAATTGTAAATTTAGCTTATAAAAAAACATTTATTCATTAACAAATTCAACTTTTAAAGTTTTTAGTATATATTATTTATTTAAATCAGATTTTGTTAAAAAGAATCATATTAAAATGACTAATCAATTTGGGCATTGGGCAGCAAAATAATAATAATAATAACAACAATAGAATTATAAAAAAAAAATTAGATTAAAAAATGTATAGATATATTTATTACTTAAGTATATTAACAACATAATCATCAAAAAAATTTTAACTTAATTTAGCTTAAATATACATGATTT